CCATTCGACGCCGGCTGTAGTAACGAAAAATGTTTCCTTGGACATGTGCCTTACCCCTTCACCCTTGAAAAGCGCACCTACATCAGCCTTAGCGAATGGACACATTCATTTTGACACGCCACAATATAAACAACAATCATATTCGCAAACAGGATCTGTCAATGCTACGCCTCAAATAACGATGACTGATACACATAATGGTCATAATATACCATATCCTCATCAAATATATCAACAGACCAAGCAATTTGATCCTGTGACGGAGTTGCTGGCTGAGAAAAGACGACGGAATGCTGGTGCATCGGCTCGTTTCCGCGATCGACGAAAACAACGTGAAAGAGAGATGCAAGAAAAATGCCGATTTTTGGAACGAAGAGTGCAAGAATTGGAATGTACAGACAGTGCTAAACGCATATCTGAATTGGAAAAAAAGTTGATGGAAGTTAATGAGGAAAAGAACGCTTCCCAATGTAAATTACGAGAATTGGAAAAAGAGGTAAGATTTCTCGTTTCTTCTCACGTGGTCGCCAATTCCTCGATTACGTAATATAATTCATGTGATTTTTTAGATTCGTCAATTACGTTCCAGATTGTACGAACAAGAATTTGAATTTCTCACTCCCCCTTCGTCATCTGGGGAGTGTGATTCCAAAGACAGTCCCTTTGACATTTCTTTAAGGGCTTCAAGAGAATCTTCAACATCTTCGGAACGTCCACGTAAATCGATTGATGTCAAATCACTATTATTGTAAAAAAAAATGCAAATCAAATAAGTCATGCTTTTCGTTATCGCATTGCTTAGTTGATTTTCGAGTCCGATTTATTTTTCTGCCTTTGATACCTTTCTGTTTTTCGAAAATGAAGAATCTCCTGATTTTTCTTTTTAAAGACAAAGACAATGCTTTATTAAATACGCACATTATTGGGAAAAGTAAGTACATCTAAAAAAATAATAATAATAATAACTCTGTCACATTACGGAAATTGTCTTCATGCTTCTTTTCACACCCTATAATTTCAATTGTATATATTATAAAATAAGGACTAATTCTTTGAGATTTCGCTTCTTTGTTTATATACATATAATGTAATTTCAGTCAGAATATAATTCTAATAAGACCCTAAAAAAATATCTAAAATTAAAAATGGTAAGATTGTTGTAAGATTATTATGATTATAAGTTTTGTTTTTAACTTTTCGCCTTTTTAGATGTTTGTAGTATTTAATAAGAAAAATGAAAACGTTGTTGTAATTATGCATTAAATTAGTAACATGTTAACTAAGAATAGCTCTATAAAACAAAAGATAAAATTTAATTCTCTATGATAAAGATTATTCAATTAAGTGTTAAAAAATAAAATTCTTATTAAAATATACAAACTCCGATAAAAAAAAACTTCGATATGCAAAAAGAAAGTCAATAAATTTTTTTTTTAAAAATCCAATTGAAGTTATACAGTATATCTATAAATCTAACTAAAAATATGTTTTATATGATAATTCCAGTAATTTTTTAGAATTGATCGAACATTTTTACTATATGTTATATTGATCACTTGATTTATTTTTTTTAAAAATATTTTTTTCTCATTAACTGATATTCACCTTTTGTCTATACAAGTATTTCATTACTATTATAAAATAAGATACTTCAATCAAGGATTTATTTGTAAGGTGTCAAGCTAAGATAATCAAAATATAATTTTTTTTTTTTTAAAAAAAAAATTTTGTATTTATCTTATTTAAATAAACAAATATAAATAAAGATACTGTATCTCGTTTAACAAATAAAAAATAATAAGATTTTTTATTTA